GCCAGAGCTGGCCAGTCAATTAATTCACCATTCCTCCCTGGCCATCTTTCCAGGGTATCACTGCCAATGAGTTGGCATATGATGGTGGTGTGCTCTGTACAGTTTTCCACCATACAGGTTGTGTGCATTGAACTTCATCTGGATCTGTAGGTAACTGCTTGTTATTCAGGTCACTATAAATCACCTCCAGCACAACTAATTCTCTTAGGTACTAGATACTTTTCTCCATGGGGGTCCACTTGCCTGGGTGATGTGTAACATCTTCCTTGAAGGGGTACCTTTCCTTCACACCTGACAGGAGTCGCCTCCAGAGGCTGAGGGCTTGTGTCTGTTTTCAACAAACTGCCTTGTCAATGCCCCCTTCTCTGGCAGGTGTCCCAGCTGCTTGATTTCCCTACCCTCTAATTCCAAACTACTGGTCCTGTTATCCCAGTATTGGAGCAGCCAAGTAACAATGTACTCGCCTGGAAAATTGCCAAAATCCTTTTGTATATCTCACAGCTCACTCAGGAATAGGGATTGGGTTCCACCTCTTCCTCCTGTTCTCATGAGGGCCCTGGTTCACCTTCATCCCTCGCTAAGCAAACTGATTTTTTTTTTTTTCTGTATAGGGACAACTGATACTGACTCAAGTTGGTTTTCTGGTTCAGCTACAGTGCCTACCCATCTGTTTTTAGGTCCAGAAATCAGAGAAGGTGTCCTTGAGGTCACTAAATAGTGTGGAGAAGCACTCGGTAGATGCAGGCAAGGCCCCAACACATTGTCGTGATTTGTGTTTCTTGGGGATTGCCAGGTTGACAATATACTTTTCCCAAATATTTTACTAATTTATTAGGGTTCTGCAGTTGTTCCGTGATGAAATTTCAAATTATTGGAGGTGACCACTGCCCTAGGCACTTGCCCATACTCTCCCCCACACCCTGCCACTCATAACTATCCAGCCCTGAGGCAGATCTCTGGGTGCTGTTCTTGAAAAGATATTGTTTGACCCTGAAGAGGACCTGGGACACATTGAGAAGACATAGGAACAAGAGCATGCTGGTTTGGGCATCCCAAGGGTATTCAAACTTTTCAAAATCTGAGACAGTTTCCTCCTCGTGTTGCCCATAGACTGGGTGAGATCACTAACAAATGACAATGCCACATACACGTACCAGCTTAGCTTTGTGACCAGTGGTGTAACCACATCATAGACTGACAACAACCAGTACAGCAACATGAGTCCTGATCCGTTTCCCAGCGATGATAAACAACCACAGGGAATACACAGTATTTATATAACACAACCATGGTAACAAATGGACCAACATTGTGACCATGGACTATTTAACATAAAAAGAGCATATGATAAAATTATTTTAATGCACTTTGGGCAGATTTTGTCATTATCTCAACCCTTCGTGCCCCATGTTGGGTACCAAAAAGGACTGTTGTGGTTCAACCCCAGCTGGCAACTAAGAATCACGAAGCTGCTTACTTGCTCATTCTACTCCCTCCTCCCCTTCCAGTGAGATGGGAAGGAGAATAGGGAGAAAAAGGTAAAGCCTCATGGGTTGAGATAAGGAGAGTTTAATAGAACACCACAAAGAGAGGAAATAACAGCAATAACAATAATACTAATGAAATAATATATAAAATGAGTGATATACAACATGACTGCTCACTGCCTCAAATGGGACTCTACCTGGCCCCAGGCTGCAGCTCAGTCAAATCATGCTCCTTTCTCCCCTCACAGTTTCCCTCTTCCTTTGATATTCTGGCTGTGCCCTCTCCCAGCTTCCTATGAAAATTAACTTTATCATAGCTCAACACAGGACAGTTGCCATTCTCCATTTCTTCCCTCGTCCTCGCTCTGTCCTTTGAGGTGCTCAGGCCAGAACTGAGCACAATATTCAAGATGTTGGTACATCTGTATCTTGTGAAGATAGGGTTGCTTGCAGAAATTGTCCAGATGTCTAATGTTACTATCAGTACAGCCTAAGCCAAAACCTCTATTCTATACTGGAGAATAAAAATGTGCTAGGACAAAGGGGGTCTTTAAGGCCAGGCTGGATGAGGCTCTGGGCAGCCTGATCTAGTGGGAGGTGTCCCTGCTCATGGCAGAGGGGTTGGAACTGGGGGATCCTTGTGGTCCCTTCCAGCCCTGACAGATTCTGATCTGTTTTAGCAGAGGACTTTAGAGCCCTAATGGCTCAATGGTTGGACTTGATGATCTTGAAGGTCCCTTCCAACCTAAAGGATTCTATGATTCTATGA